ACCTAAAGGATTCTATGATAACTTCCTCGTAAATCCTGGGACTCAGACTGGGGAGGTTTCACCATTCAAAAATAAAACTATTTTTAAAACTATAGTGTCCCCTTTTTTTTCTATGTAGGAATGAAACTTGTTTGAAACATTTCTGCAGTGTTAACATTCTGTGTATATATCAATGAACTTTTCTCTAGATGAAATGCTACACAAGAAGCTTTTTTGGTCAAGGCTGAAATTTCATTTGTGTTTTCAGAATACTGTGCATGAAAAGACCTTAACTGAGATCCCTTGCTAATACATCTGAGTTCATTATTGACTAGCTAGCCCACTGATATTCTACAAAATTCATTTTCATAAAGCAGAATTTATTAAGTAGTTGGGAAACTGTTCTAGGCACTCCAGATGACCCTGATTAGCACAGAACTAGAAAGTTAACACTAGAGGTGTATATACTATAAAAACATGCAAAGAATATATACAGGAATGAGTTCAATTGTGTGAGGGAGGGTGCATGTATATACATACACAGTATTTTTAATAAGCTCCCTTCTTGCTTCCTCCTGCCATTACTAAGCAGTGCACTGGTACATCAGAGAGATGCTCATCAAATTTTGTATGGCCTAACCTTTACAGAGGAGACTTTCTTAGGCAAAAAATCTGCATATATCCCAGGAAACTTCTTTGTTTGCATGACCTCTGAAAACCAGTGCAAACCAGTTTCTCTGTGGATTTTTGGAAAGTAATAGTTAGAAGAGATTAAACAGTGTGAAAAAGAGTAGGTTCTTAATATAGAAGCTTTCCTTATCTCTGATACACACCTGGCTCGCTGTTAACTATGACCTTCTAACTTGGATGGCACCCCCTGGCCTATAAATTTGCTTTCTTCCTTGCCCAACACACTTCATGCCTTTTGCAACAGAGGAAGTTCTTCAGCACTCTACATTTCAGCACCTTCTCTATGAAATAGATTTCTGGATAAATATGGGCAGGAGAATCTTATGAATGTCCATTTACAATATAACCACACAAGCAGAAAATGACACTGTTAGTTAATGTTGTTTGATTTTTTTTATCATTTTTTTATCATTTATAGTCTGTGCCATCAGCTGTAACATGTACAGTTAACAAATACACTGTATATTACATACATGTATGTAGGTAAACAAAAAAAAAAAATGGATTTACCTTTTGGTGGTGTTCGTTTTTCATGTCTCTCCAATTTCTGCTTATGAATTTCTGAAAACAATGCAACATAGAGTTATCAATACTAAAATAATTTTCACACACAAAATTATCAGATACATTCTCATAATAAAATATCATCAAATATCATAGCAGAGCCATGGCTTTATCATCTGCATATTCAGAATTATATAAAAAAAAATACCATTTTTATATATATATATACACAAGCATATATATATTTTATATATATATTTATATTTGGTAAAAAAATATAGCATTAAGTGACTGTAATAATTAGTCTGCTTTCAGTTGAGCAATTCAGCTACTCTTAAAGTCAAGAATAGGTTTTGTTGATCTGTAACAGCTACACAGTAACATCTGTTGGTCATGAAACAGAAGAAACACTTGTTATAAATGTTTCTATTGTCTTGAGTTGTTTACCAGGATTAACATTTCATGTTTTCCAAATTACTTTTGGAATGAAAAAAAAAAAAGTTCTTTTTGCTTCATTTGTACAAAAATTACAGAGATAAAAGTTCCCAGGTTAGGGATAGTTGTCTTGGAGAATGGCTTCTTTTAATTGCTGTGTACCAAAGCACCAAGAACTGCCTTGTCAGAAAAGGAAGTGGTACAGTAATTACCTGTTGTTGCTATGATGTCTGCTTTGAGCAAAATTCCTCAGCTGTGACACTGATATTAAATTACTGCTATAGACCTCTGTAACTGATTCTTTCCTGTTGTCTTTACTGTACCCAAGCCAGTATAATATTGAAAACGCAAAATGTTAAATTTGAGAAAACGTAAACCAGAATTAAATCAAGCTTGCATCGCACTGTTTGGATACATTGGTAAAAATTTAAAGGACATTTAGTGTAGATGCACAATAAGTTCATTAAGACTACACAAAGTGCCAGGTTTATAGTATTGTGCATATACTTCTTCCGGTAAGAAAATGTTATAAAATATCAGCTCAAATTAATCTTTGACAAAAGCACTGGTAATTTTCACTAGACTCTATGGGATATGCATCCTGCATTTTAGGGTTAGTGTTGCAGAGATGCCTTCTTGTATTTTAGGATTTGGTTTGGTCTGTGGGGTGTAAATAACAAGGACACTGACCCCAGAATTAATCCAACAGAGAAAAAGTTATATGTATTACACCCCAACTCTAAGGAGCTAATTTAATGCCCATTGAAGACAATTAAATACTTCACTTATATCATTAGTTATTCATTCAGGTTGTAACAGGATGCATGTTGACAAAAACATATAGTAGAAAATAGTATTTTCCCTTCCCAAGACTGTAATCTTTTCATAGGTCCCTGAAATAAATCCAGAAAGTTTTATTGGATAGCAGTTGCTGTCTGAAATAATAATTGTGTCAAGTTCTCAAGAAACATAACTATTCTATGATATCAGCCTACGTTGTCTTTACATAGAGACAATATTATTTCACTGAGATAAAGGGTAACAAAGGCTGAAATACATACCACTGGTAGCCACTAATGTATGGCAGCATAACTAAGCAAATGATATAAAATATCATTCAACTAAAAGGACTTTTTATTCAGTTTCCATCTTATTCTTTGCAGGCTGATTGTGTAGCTTCTTTATTGTTCTATAAACTTTAAAGGTTGCAATTAGAAAGAAATAATTTCTTATTGATTTCCTGTATTTCAGCTGAGCCTGGATTATTTTTCTTTCTGCAACTATGCGAGGATTTTTTTTTCTATTGACTGTGAAAATCCATTTTCTGGATTTTCAAACTTTTCCTACCTCTTCTCCTTGAAAGGGTGCACAAAGTAGTTTAAATAGTGTAAGTGGTGGCACTGCTGTAAGACAAGAACAACAAGAGTATTGCTCACCAGTTCTGAGCACATATGAGTGGTTCTCCATGCTGCTGCTCCACACTTCCTCCAAACCCTAACTTAGTGTATTTAAAGAAAGCTGAGTCACCTCATCTGCATTATAACATACAGCAGAGACATATCTCATCCAGCTCAAGAAGTCATCCTACACACAGAGGTGAAAGAATATGGTCCACTAAGTGATAAATCATATTGTTAAGACAGAGTCATCTACACAGACACTATTCCTTGCTTGCCATAAGAAGCTTCAGCTCTGCTGAGTTCCCACCATCTGGTACGTGCCTCACTACAGAAAATAACCTCTTTTTCTGGGGGGGAAAAAAGAAAACAAACAAAAAAACCCCATAAACCTTTGTTATTTTAAAAAAAGGCTTTTAAAGTTACTGTGGGTTTAGGGAATTTCTTGCTGCTAGTTTGACTGCAAGTCTGTGTGGAGCAATGACTGTAGAGCTGTCCAGCTAAATAAGCCTCACATTGTATCAGCAGTGAATCTGACTTGACACAAATACTTCAGTAAAATACAGAGAAGGATACATTCTGGACAGCTCTGTGCACTCACCTAACTTACTGCTACAATTAGAATACCACACATCAAAGAACCCTACAAAAATTTCTTGACATGAAATACATCTTTATAATACATAAGTGTGTATATATGTTTTCATATATTACAAGGTGTGCCATCATTAAGATCTCTTCACAAGCTCCCCATTATAGCTGGAATCATCATAAAAAAAATTCAGCTTGGAATACTGCAATTCTGAAATATTACAACCTAAATTTTCCCAGCAAAAATAAAAATAGTCTCAATATATGCTCATCTTGATCAATTGACAAACGATAAAAAAGTGGCTAAGTCTAAAATATTTTAAATAAGGAAACACGCTAGATTATTGGAGACTCTTTTTTCTGTTCTGAAGATTTTGATGCTGTTTGCTTTATCTTTTATGACAAATAGCTTTAATTTTCTAGTAATCACATCATATCTTATTGCTGAGTTGACAAAGTGGCCATAATATCATAGAAGACTTACATGGCCAGTTTAAAGCATCTAATTTATCTCTATCAATATGACACATTGTTAATAAATCCTAAATATTATGAATTCATGTTTAGAAAAATGACAGAACCAAACAGCAGCAAGGATAAGCTTTGTCACCATGGCGACCATCCTGCTTCTTGATGAGATGACAGTACTGTTTATTAAATTCTTATAAGGGAGTATGTATTTTAAAAGCATAGTTTGTTTTCTTTGATTATCAAACAGACATGAAAAAGTATCTTTCCCCTTGCTTTTCTTGGGTTTTCAATGGATAAGTACTTTATTTCCTCAAATATGGATATTGCTTGACAGTGACTTCTTTAGACCTTGGGTCTTGTGCAGATATACAGAACATGCAGCATGATTATTTTAAATAACTCCAAGAAGAGAAGATAGTAGTCTCTTCACTGACCATTTCAAGATGTTGAAAGGAAACGTATTGGACTATATTGTTAGCAGGTTAATATATCTACTGTTGATCCAAAACAGGCCCTCACAATCTGCTGAGGATCAGTATCACGGGCAATTTTACCAAAAATTCCTGCTTAACTATCTGTTTGGGCCTCAGTCCTTATCCAGCTAATTTTTGATTGACAGCAGTTCACAGCCTCTAAAGACAGGTCGGCTCTGGCTGTGCACTGCAAAGCCCCACCTCCAGGGCTTTGGTGCAAGAGAAAAAGATTTTTCCCTCTGAATTTGTGTGAGCTGGTGATGGAGCACTGTGCAGGTTTACCTCAATGTGAAAGAAGATCACAGCCCTTCATGGCAGGGCATGGGGAGATTCTCTGCGTTCCTGAAAAATAATTCCCTTCCTCATCTGCTCTCATTTTTCTGATTCTGATTTTTTTTTAACTCCTTTTTAAACACTGTAAAATATATAGCATTATTCTTAGCTATTTTAATTGTATTATATTATGATAGAACCTATAGATCTCAGCCCACATTAATTTCTGTAGGTACCACATGGAGTTATAACATGATATATTATCCCATCTCTGTAACACAAGAGTTCAAACTTTAAGAGGGCTACATTTCATGTCTTAGTGGGAATGCAGAGCCCTGCATCCTGCTTCATTAGAGGATGAAATGGTGAGTAGCAATCTGGCATTGCTAAAATAGCTCCTAGACTTCACCCTCTGCTAAGCTTCCATTTTATGCATGAAAAATGCCCTAAAAAAAACAGCAAACCAAATAAAATTGTCAATGCTCTTGAGAAGCAAAGTGAGCAAAAAAGAGATTATTGTCCTCATCTGAAACACAAGAATACTTTACTCCAAAAAACACAGAAAGTCAGCAAAAGAACTAGGAATTTAACTCTGATCCCTGACATTCAGTATTAACCCCTCATGCTTAGAGCCATCCTATTTCTACTTAAATACTGAAGTGATGGTGGAACATAAGGTTAATGTAGGTACTGTTTTAAAGGTATAATTTAACAGATGGAATTTCACTTGAAATGATAATACATTGTTCTTTCTAATCAAATTTTAACAGTTGGTTGTCTTTTTCATAATCTCTTGCAGATAACAAACAGTGATACACAACTTCAGTGCTTTGACTTTTTTTTTTTCCTTATAAAAAATCTAAGTGTAAAAGGAAAATTAGTCCTATTCAGAGTTCTGGAGAACCAGAGGTTAATAATTTGCTTTTGAACAGTTAAAACTCTTACAGCTATTGCCAGCAATTTAATGGGGCTATATCCTTGCTAGTTTATCAAGACTAATTGGTAGCAGGCAGCTGATTATCCTAAAGAGCTGGTGGAAACAGATACTGAGGGCAAAGCAAGAATGAGTGGTGTTAAGAGCTTTAGAAGATGAGAGGGATGTCATTTCTAATGTGTTTCTAGACGTTGTCTGTATGAAGAATTGCAGTCAATGCTCATGCTGCTGGTATTCTTAGGATAAATTTGCAATTGTGCAGCTGATGTCTATTTTTAATCTAGATAGTACCAGCTGGTGAAGGTGACGGTTATTCATGTGGGGCTAGGAGGAGAATAAAGGAAGTTGTGCATTTAGAGCATCTTCCCGCTAACTACTAATACATCAAACAGCTGTACTCGGGGGGGGGGAGAAAAAAAACCTTCAAATTTTGCAATAGGAAAAAAACACAGGGGGAAAGAAAAAAAGAGGAAATATTTAATT